AATGACATACTAAGATGATGGAAGCGTTGCGGGCTTATCGCACAACTTATAAAACACCAACTTAAGCCACTCCTTATGCATTGATGTTTGGAGAGAAGCGGTATTGCCACTTGAAGTTGAGTTGTCATCACTACGGGTAGTTGTTCAGTATAATCTTACACGGGAGAAAAATGCTTGCTTGAGAATGGAAGGGTTAGATGCACTGGATGAAATCAGACTCCAAGCTCAACAGAACCTCAAAATCTACAAGGCCAAGGTATCTCAAGCCTTTGATCATAAGGTGCTTCCTTAGACATTCCAGAAAGGAGAGTTAGTGTTGGTGCTGAGAAGGCGCCAATCATTCCCCATCAGAAAGTTTGTGGAAAATTTATGCCTAACTAGGAAAACCCGTTTGTTATTGAAAAAGTATATCAGGGAGGAGCCTATCAACTTATCAATTCAAACAGACGACGACCAATGCCTCCAATCAATGGTTGATGCAAGAAAAAGTATTATACATAATGACCAATTATGAGATGCTATGGTTAAAATTTCATTTTAAAATGTAAATGATTTGTTTCGTGTTCATATGTATTTGAAAATTTCTTCTAACACAAGAATGCATTTCAAAATTAATATAAATGTTCCTCGCAAGACTGGGGGCATTTTTTTAGTTCATCTGAGCTAATGTTTAGTTTGCATTCTCAAATTATGTTACACTTTCAAAATCCCCCCGCAATACTGGGGACATTTTTAGAAATTTTATATAAAATATATTTAATTTCTACTTACAAGGCAGAGAGCTCTTTATTTGGGTTGACATTTTGCGTTGTGTCGAGATTCCCAAATATGATGTTGAAATTCTCAATGTTAAAGCTAGAAATATTAGGGTTGACATTGAGTTTAAATGCAGAGATCTCCAAATATTTGTTAGAAATTGCCACCTGACAAAAATAGATGCAAAATGAAATTTGAAAGGCAAAGATTTTCTTTGATTATAATTCCCAAAGTTCAACTAAAAAAACTTCATGATTTGCAAGCCTCGATGATTCAAGTTGGAAGTATGCAAGCTCTGTCACAATTCATGTTCGAGACTCGAAAGGGTCAAAAAGGTCATACTCAACAACCCCAAATATGGTCGAGTTATGACAATTCGCTTCACTCAACAAGCCTTAAAAATGGCCATAGTGAAGGAGCAAGCTTTTTCACTCAGCAAGCCTTAAAAATGGCCATAGTGAAGCAGCAAGCTTTTTCACTCAACAAGCCATAAAAACAGCCGTAGTAGGAAAGCCCCTACCTTGTAAATTTGATAACAGGAATCATCTAGTTCCTAAGCTCATCCAATTTGACAATTTAAGTCTTACAAATCCAGAAGACTTTTTCAAAAAGTTAAGTCTATAAACTGAAGCTTCTTAAGTTGAAGAGGCACATGTTCGTTATAGTCAAAGTCTATGACTCAAACGGGTCAAGAAGGTCGGACTCAACAAGCCCAAATATGGTCGAATCGCTGACAAATTTGTTCACTCAACAAGCGATAAAATCGACCGCAGTGAGGATGGCCTCGTTTTTTAATCCAGTGATAAAGACTATCAAATCCCAAGCCTATTCGACTTGAGAAGTTCAAGTGGACCGGATTATGGAATTTTTTTTTTATCAATCAAAAGAAATGAGGATTGCTCAAGAAAGCATCAAGTTGAGCTCGACGTTCTGTTCAAAGGAGCCTCAATAAAGACAAAAAAAAGTCCACTAATAAAATCATAAATACATACAAACAGTGAAATGTAACAACTACAATCAAAACATCACAAAAGATGAGACTACACAGCTCGAAGTTGTCATAATCTCAGTAAGGGTCTCATACTCTGCCTTAGCAACCTGCAGCTTCTCCACTGCTTGAATCAAGGCTGACTCAGCAACTAACACGAACTGGTGACAAGTCTGGACTATTCGTGTATGCCTAGTGTGCTCCATCTAAAGACCGGCTTGGCCGACATGCTGTCTCTGGTCTCTCCCAGAAAACGTTGTATACAAGCCCCAAGACTCTCAATCTCAGCTGAAGTATCAGAAGTGCGCCGGCGGAGCCTCTGTATAGCTGTTGAACACCTATTCAACTCATCATGTGCAACATCAGCTACCTCACGACGTCTCCTAACATTTTCCTGAAGGTCATGTAACGAAGCCCTGGTCCGAGTAATTGTGAGAGCTCTGAGTCTGCGAACCAAAAACTCTGCCTCTCAACATACCAACTTCGAGTATGTGAGCTCTGGTCCTACCAAATCAAAGTGCATCAGAAAGTCTAGCACGACATCTGCATCCACAATAAAACTCTCCAAAAACTGAAGAAATGTAGAATCTAATCCGGATATCAAACTCCATAGAAAGGATAGTACACACTCATGCATATCCCGGTGCCTAGCATCTGTAAATGACGGACGCCGATATTAGATCCCGGACTCATAGTCTGCTCCAACTGGTACTGTTTAAAAAAAATATCAAAGATTAGGATGCTATACCGAAAGTGCATACATGTCTATATATCAAGGTAAAAAAAGTAAAGAATATTACATGGGTTGGACTCCTCCATATCTATGGAAGAGCTATCTGGACGAGGTATAAGAAGTACAATAGCTAAATCAAAAGAGGTAGAAACTAATACTGCCTCGTCAAGTATGTGTTCTATCTCAGATGTAATCATTAAATCAGTATGGATCTTCTCTGGTGATGCAAAAGGCTGAGGATTATGACCAACCATCTGATCAACAGGAGCCGAAGAGGACTCGCCCCGATATCTAACATGTCTATCTGCTGAAGGAACACATTAGAAGGTGGAGGTGGCTTCTTAGTCCGTACTCTAGTCGGTGAAGAGACAACTGTCTCTTCTATAATTGGCTCATCCCCTCTCTGATCTGCATTGCGAAAAAAATTAAATAAAGATAGTTGAAATAAAATTGTGAAAGAACTGTTTACAAAAATGTTTGGCTGATAAAATTTTTACCTATGCTATCAACGTCTTGTGGGATACTGTGATGTGGCCTGACCTCGAGGGATGCCTAATGATATTAGCCATCGCTCATACCGGCGAGCACCATGTTCCATGAAAGCACCGAAAGATTGTCTCACCTATGTCAGCCAAATGTAATTCACCCTTGTGAGACTACCAGGAGGAGCTATGGTAAATCTCAAACCGATTCTAACCCTAAGCAGAGGAAACCATAATATGGAAGTTGTATAAAACCTACTATCTACAGGTGTAGAATTCCATCGAGCGAGTGTCAGCAACTCCTTGTATATGCAGCAGTCCGTCATATGTTGTGGTTTGTGTGTATCTAAACTGGCGAGCCACTCTGTTGGGCATATAGCCCATTAGATTTTGATTGAGTCAAATTTTATGCTTTGCTTAAATTTAAATTTTAAAATAAGTGAGATTGAGGTAAGGGAAGGTGTTAGTTTTTTAGATTTCTTATCGGCAATAGCAGCTAAGGTTCCATTAGATGCCTTTATTTAATGGTTTGCTGGGCTATGCATATAAGAAAAGAATTTAGGTGAGGAGTTGATCATTTGGTATATTGCTCTACAGTTTATTTTCCACATTTTGTTTGAACTATTTTCAAAAGCACGTGAGAGGTATGAAGTGGAATACTTATCTGATTTGTCTTTAGAGCATACACCTGTTGTATGGCCGTTTCTTTTAGAGTTTCTAGCATGTCTTTTGTATATTCTTACGTTTTTGTAGTAATAGCGAAGTATTATGTACAATAAAAGGTAAAAAATGGTGCTTGTTAGATTAGTTAATAAAATTAGTGCTAGAAGATTCTGAAGGAAAATGAGCATACCTAAAGTTTTATGGATAGAAGTTAAAAATGATTTGTGGAGAATAGGTTTAACATCATTGAACATGAATGAATGAAAATGAATATTAATAACGCTAGCCTATATAGTAGTGATAAGGCCATTGATGATGATGATGATGTTGTTGTTGTTGTTGTTAATGTTCAAAAGAGCTTGAAAATGCAGAGTTTCTTAAGTTTGTCTTGGGTATAGCTGGGCTTGAGTTCAGCTAGAAAAGTTTGATCATGCTTGATCCAGTTTGTTTGATTTTACAATTTGAATATATATATATATATATATGTATGCATGCACACACCACATTCTTACAATAAAGTCACCGGAACGTAGATAGACATATGTAATTAGATGTTTACATCTTATTGCAAGTGCCAAAATTATTCTATTACTAAATTATTTTATTTAACCAAGCTACAAACGGTGATAACTTTTGAAAGATAAAAAACTTAAATTGGAATTGTTTTAACATTCGCGGAACTGATGAACACTTCATATTATTTGAAATTAAGCATCTATGACACAATAAATCACATTTGGTAACCGCTATTAGTTAATTTCATAAGCACGCTTTATATTAGTCAAACTCATTGTGCTGTATAATGCCTAATGCAGTGCGTTCATAATTCTGAAAGTATGCTATTTTAGCATGATATTTTGACGTCAAGTTGCTTGAGTTATTTGAAATGAAATTTAAGCCAGTTTGAGCTTTGTTTTGTATAACTGAAGCTGAACTTGATCTGGGCTTAGTTTACTCGTATTCAGCTTGTTACCAAGCCATACGAAACGAGTTCAAGCTATTAATACCTTACGGCTTCATCATCTCTTTTTATATATGCTGATCAACTTAATTTCATATATTTGTTCAGATTATACTTGTATCTCCTTCTTCCATTATTTTTTGGGGCATTTAAATATATGTCATACAAATCCTATTTATTTACATATCTAGACCCGAACTTTGATTTTTTAACATTTATAACACTCAAATCTTGGTATCACATCATAAATACCATTCTGTAACCTTTAAAAATAAAACACACTTTTTAAAGCTTAGGTAAAGTGGCATAGATGTAAAAATTAAAATTTAGGTGTTGGAAATGTAAATATATAAAAATTATGTGGTCTATCTAGTCATAGACTTTTTTTCCTTTTGTTTTTTTTTTTTTTGGTAAAAGGGTGGACAAATGGCAGCTATCAACTTGGAGTCTAGGGCAGCTTTGCTTGCTGCAAGAAAGGTCCTGCAATGATATACAGTTTTCTCATGATTAAATAGTAGGAAAAAGTGTCTCTCTTCCTTCTTTCAACTCAGCATTTGCTTTATTACTTTGAAATGAGTATATCATGATTTGCTTTATTGCTATATTTTTCATGTTTATTTAGGGTCTATTTGGGATGGTTAAAGCTTCTTTAAAAAGATAATTGTAAAGTTATGGTGGAAAAAAGTTCTTAGAAAGCTGCGTGGGAATTATATATATATATATATATATATATATATATATATATTCCAACAAATATATTCCAACAAATATATTCCAACAACTTAGCAACAACTTACAACCACTGTGCTAGCAGGTGAGGTTAAAAAAAAAAACTTCCCACCAAAAAATTTCTATAAAGCAACATAAAAATATTTCTCTAAGCAGACAGAAAGCTGTCCCAAATAGACCATTACTATATTTTTACATATTTTTATTTTTCATCTTTGAAATCAGATTAACGTGTTTTGAAAAACACTCAAAATAATTTTGAAGTGTTTTGAGTGTTTTTAAAATAATCATATCTGAATCAAATAAAAAAAATATTTAGTTTCAAATCAAAGTATAAACAAAATAAAATATAAAATAGAAGTGAACTCAAACAGCCTCGAAAGAATTTGTTGCTTGTTTATTGTTATTTCATGCAGGGACTGGCGTGTGCAGCATCACGGTATCTTGGGCTTAGGAGCTTGATGGTTTTCCTTGGGCCTTTGTAAGTGCTTTGTTCCTTTTTTTCACTTGAAGGTTTTGATTTGCGTGCTTGTGATTGACAACTCGATTCATATAGTCTTCAGAATGCTCATCTCCCCTTCATTGGTTTGCTAATTAGCTCTTTTCATTTAGTTGGTTTAAATTTATCGAACTTTCTTTTTTTCTGAATGGATTCAAAAACTTCAATTATCTATTTGGCAATGCACCTTATTTTTTGTGAAAAGGATAAGATTTTCTAGGGAATGAAGTGAACTTTTAGCAATCAACCTTAAAATGTAGAGCTTCTCAGCAAAGGTGCAATATATTCTTTTGAAAATTACTTTTTTTATTACTAAAAGGTTGAAATCCATGCAATAAAATTAGTTGGACATACTCTAAATTACTGTGGCATTATTTCCAACGGAAGAAAACCTTGATGGGAGGCCTAAACATAATCATAGAAACCAATATATGGCATACGGGGAATATTGGGACCAATTGAATAATTATTTTAAGGTTTGTAGATAATAATTCTAGTATATTTGCATATTATGATTGGTTTATGGGTTTTATAGCTAAACAGAATTTGCCTCGAGGCTGACTTATTGATAGCTTTTGTTTTCTTAAAGATCTTAAGCAAGAGGGTGAGACTATCTTAAGCTATAATTTACCAAGAACCTTAATGGTGGTCTTACATAGATTTTTTAAATCTGAGATATACTATAAATGATCAAATTGCAATGCCAAAACCACATTTAAAATTTCTAAAACATTTATTTATTTGTTTATTCTAAAATCCCAGACAACGGTTTTTTTACAATCACCACACTTTAAGAGATCTGGTTCAAAAAACAACTTCTTACTAGAAAAATTTCTACAAAGCAACAATAAATAAGTCCCTCAAACGTAATTGTGGTGACGGTCTTAAATGCAATGCAGACGTAGAGCTGTCTCAAATAGACCCCTAATTTGGCTGATAAGAAGAATACAACGCCTAACAGTTTCATTAATCTTTTTCTATGAATTTATGTTCCACGAAATCTTATAAAGATCCTGATTCTGAGTTGTGTAAGCAGGCTATGGGGAACTTTCCTGGCTGATGTTGTGATTCAAAGTTTGGGTACAGACTATGCCAGGGTTCTGAGAGCAATATATGCATTTGCTCAGGTGTTGTGTACTTTTTCATTCAAGTACTTCAATTACATATATTTATGACCCAATCTAATAATGCCATTTATATATTTCAGATTCGTCTTACAAGAACCTATGGGTGAAAGAGCAATGGAACTTGGATCTCTTCTGCCACTATACCTTTCACTTGGATTGCTTCCTGTTTTTGCTGGAAGAGATGAGCTGAAAGTTTAATATTATTTGTGGTTTTATTTTCGTGTTTTGCTAATGGTTTTTTACTTATATTATTTATTTGTTTTACAGTTCGTTTGCATTTATTTTGGGGTTATGATGAGACATAATTTAACTGTTTTAAGGGGTAGTTGGTGGCATGCGTTAAAAGATATTATTGTAGCTTTAAACAGGTGCATTTAAATTTGTTTCACTATTAAGTGTTTGGTTGGATGCATTTTAAATTATTATTTTTTTATAACTTTTTTGGAATTTTACATATATACCACACAATTAGTTATATGCATGTCTAACTCAAGTTTGACATTTACATTTATAACACTGGTTTTACAGAGTTCTACATATTTCTTATGTGGAGTGTTGCATGTAAATAGGAAATTTCAGGGGTAAAACATGTAAATATATACGAATTGTGTGGTAGGTGTTGTGGTATATATGAAATTTAAAATGATTGATGAAAAAGTGAAAAATAGAACGAGAAAATTCACATCAAAAGAACACACAGATTTACGTGGTTCGGCAAATTGTCTACATCCACGAAGTTGCAGAGGATTTTATTAATTGAGAAATTTACACTGTTTGATCACAACGATAACTACAAGATCTCTTACTTGCTCTCTCTCTTTACATCGAGATTCGCCCAAGAGCAAAAACACCGAAGAAGAAGAAATACGTACAAGAGAAAAAAACATATTTCTTTTCTGCTCCAAGCCAACAAGAAGAAATCAAGAAGAACATCTTCTTCTACTATCTTCTTCTTCCCTCCGCCAAGGACTCAAAAGCACAGCACCTTACGAAAACACCTTTTCTGTCTTCTGCTTCCCGTAAATCCCCTTTCCTATTTCACTAAAGAGAGACAGGAGATGGGTAGCTTTCTATTTCTCGAGAGACGAAGACGGGGAAGTAGGCGGGAGCAGTTTCTTCAGGAGCGGAAAAACCTATGCCATCACGACATTTCCTTCTTATTTTTATTTGCTTTTACCGGACTCCACCATAACAGTAGGCATGTAAATACTATCTTCTTTGTTGAATGTCATTGTAATATATTTTTATTTTTTTATATTTCTTTTCTTCTTTTCAATACCGAGAATGTTCAAAGAGAGAATGAAATATATTCAGGTATATTGCTTAGCTCAAAAAATATATAATTAAGTCAATAAAGTCAAATCTTAATTAATTCCGATGATTTAGTTTTTGTATTTGCTCATTTATTGCCGCACAACATTAATAGGTCATGACTTAGGTTGGAGCACAAATACAAAATTAGAAAATATTTATTTAAAATTCTTAGATATATAAACAACATAGGGATTACTTTCTGATTTTTTTTTAAAAAATAAATTAAAAGAGCAGCGTCAAGATTGTTTTTGAATATTTACATGAGATTATGAGTGTAAGCGAGTCGAGCAAGAACCATGACATTAGAAAACTCTCCTTGTTTGTCCAATTGTGAGCTCGACTTCAAGTTTGGCTCGAATGGAGAGCTCATGGCGATAGCAACGAGCTTGTTAGTTCCAACTAAAAATTCAATTTTTACATGAGGGAGAGGAGGAAGTGTATTGGTGGTCAGAGGGAGAGGAGTAGGGCAGCTTGCCAGAGAATGCATTGAAATGATTAGTGGTAGGTTAATAGAGCTGGCTCCCGAGCCAACGAGCTGAGATGAGTTTAAGCTTGAGATTGTTTAATAAATGAGCTCAAGTTTGAACTCGAGCTTGTGGCTCGATATACTTAGCTTGTGTGGTCATTAAAGGCCGGCTTGAGAGCTGACGCAGCTCATTCACATATCATTTTAATTTCAGAGTTTATATATATGAAAATAATTTCTAATTATTTTGAAATCTCAATTTAAAGTAAATGGATTATTTTGATACTTTTATAAACTCTTTTTCATACTAACTTATCTTATACTAACTTATCTTAAAATGTAATGCACTTTTTAATAATTATTTTCTTTTCTTTTTCATATAATATCCTTTTTTAGTATTTATTTTTGAAAATTCTAAACGGCCAAATTGAGAAGTGGGTCCCGCTTCATTCAAAATAATAGCCGTTGCCCCGCGTCATTTCAATGTTGCATTTAAAACCATAGCTTCCCAATTTCAAATTTCAGAGAGAGAGAGAGTGACCAATTTTACAGTAGAGATAACTGTAAATTCATATTTACAATTCTTCTCATTTATTTTTACAAATCTAGCATCTAAACATTCATATTTAAATGCAAATCACTAAAATATTTAACCATCACCATCATTATTTTTTCAAAAGTGGGACGTACCTTTTCGATTCTTTTCGATTACATCAAAGAGTTAAAAAAGTGTAACAAACTATGTAAATACATAAGAATAATGTGGCATTTAGAGTAATTATTGCATCAGGTGTCCAATAACATGAGACCACGTGGCAATTTGGTGCTCGGTGACATACAAGATTCAGGCCCGGGTTGCCATGTAGCATCTTGGATACCTGATGTCTGATGCAATAATTCTTCATGGTATTTATGTAAATTTCGTAAATAATTACCAAAGTGTCTTGTTTGTCTCCAGTGTATATAACAAAAAAGAGTAACAGGAGCTGATTGATTCTTTTTATATGGGACATTCTGCAACTTTCACCCCTACTTACTCTTCTTCTCTCCTTAAATTCTCTTTCTCTCTCTCTCTCTATCTGCTGCTCCACTGAAGCTTCGGTTCTCGGCTTTATGGAGGAGGAAGGCTCGGTACGCTTTTCTACTCTTCATAAATCATTGTTGTTTTTTGTTTAGAAATTAGGGTTTCTATTCTCTCTACTTCGTCTTTCGAATTTCAGCATTTTATAAAATTATTTTTTCCCCGATTTGATCGCCTTGAGATAATCTCTTAGATTTTTGTTTCAGGAAAAGAATGGAAAGTGTGATGCGAGGGAAGAGGAGAGTGAATGGATAGAATTTGATGCTGAGTTCAAACCCATGGAGCATCCATTGGAGCCCTTGGAAGAAGATCAGCCTTTACAGTGTCCGATCCCTGATTCATCTTTTCTTAATGTGAGATATTTTACCCTTTTGCTCTTATATTTGAGCTGAATGATTGAAGTGTTCTCTTTATAACATTTAGATGAGAAATAAAAAGAAAAGAAAGGGGTTTTTGTGGTTAAGAGACAAATATTTAAGGGGAATTTATATAGCTATCACTTAATTCTTGTGTATTTAGATATCTAACACCTAAACTTTACTTTTTTACGTTTATACAATTCAAATTTTTCATATAACATAAAAAGTACAGTAATTTTAAGTTTTAAGAAGTGAAATACACCTTTTTATGCATAGGTAAGTTGAGTATATGTAAAAATTGTCATTTAGGTGTTGGATATGTAAATATATACGAATTGAGTCGTATGTAAGTCCCTTAGTTTCAGTAGTTTTTTTGTGCCTATTGCCTATTTTTTCGAAAAAATATTACATGTGGAGTTTGTATACATTCGGACTTTGTGTACAACAAGTTTGTACAACTATCTGTGCAATGTGTACAGGTTGTACATAAAATCCGGATACATCAGGATTTCGCATGTAATATTCTCTCCATTTCTTGATAGATATAGTCTTTATTTAAGCTACCTCTTTCACCTCTCTTAATGATGTTATTTCTATTGATTTCATTTATTTGTTGTTCAATGTTATTAAGAAAACAAATAATTTGTCGAGTGAGGATTATGAAAGTTCCTTAGTAATCTTTAAATCTCATTCCTTAAAGTAAATTTTTAAGGATCCTACTCACCAATTCTTGGTTTGTATACATCAAAAGAAGGTAGTGCAACTTATTATTCTGTCTTAGTAACTACTATGAATTTAATGTGAACTTCTGAAATAGTTTTATCAGTTTTTATATGAAACGGGTTGCCTTAAATGTTTATACTATTTTTTTCCAAATATTTTTGCTAGGTTTGAGAGTAGAAATTTTCATAAAGTCATGGTTTTAAAGCACAATAAATCCAAGTGATTGCCATGTAATATTCTCTCCATTTCTTGCTAGCATTTAGTTTTCCCAAAGTTCAACAAATCACTTGCCAACTTCATCATTTCATCAAATTTAGTGTGAAATTTTTTATAATCAAACAGTCCATCCTTGGATTAATGTGGCCTAATAACAAATTGGGTTTCTTCTAATGTGCCACCAAAAGTTGTTTTTTTTTATAATCTAATAGAGAAACTATTTTGAATTGTGCTTGAGGAGACAAGGGCTGAATGGAACATATTTCTAGACTCAGGATTAAAATTGCACATTCTCATAGAGTCGGGGAGGAGATTATGTCTTTGTTATTTTTCAACTTTCTTCAAACAATACAAGTCAAAAGTTTGTGTGATTGTCAAGATGTGTAAAATCACTACACAATTAAGATGTGAATAACATAAGTAGAGGAACATACAAATAAGGTAAATTGATAAATAAGGAATATGAAAATTGCACTTATGTAAAATCAAGGATAAGAGGATTTTTAGCCTGAAATAATTGATCAATAATGGAACAAGGATGTCCCTCACTATCTTGAATAAGTGAGAGAGGAGGAAGAACAATCCCCCAAAAAAAAAAAATTGAAACTCAGCACTCTTGCAACGGTTAGCTCGGACTTTTATCTGTTTTGCTTTAGTCTGATTAAATTGCACTTGGATCGTTTTTTTTCTGTCATTCTCCTGACTTGGTTGGCTTTCAATCTTGGCTCGAATGGCTACTTGAGTAGGGGCTAATAGACAAGATGTATTATTGTTCACTCCTCTATATCTATCTCTCCCTCCTTTCTTACGCTCCATTCACGGACAAATTAGAGTTCATTTTTGGAGCCTGATGTGGATTCAGCTAGATTCTTTCATCATGATGTTTAAGCTAGTTTTTTATTTAGTTGTGTTATATAATAGTAAATTAAGGCCTCTATTTATGTATGAAAAATTAACTCGTATATCTATTCAGCAAGAAAAATATGAATTGAAGCAGCGGCGATTGGTGGATGAATTACTGAAGTCCAAAGAACCTTCGGAAGAAGATGAAGAAAGCATCCTCCCACTCCAAGCAGATCCTAAGAGGCATCATAAAATTCATCAGCATTCTTCCATCCAACCTCAGCCTCCTTTTTGGGGTTCTCACTACAACATATTTCAGGTTTTCCAACAATGTAAAGATTTTTCATCTTGATTTTTTTTTTTAGTAGTATAAACTGATTATGTAAAACTTTTTATAAACATTATTTTCTAGCCTATATGTGAGCTTTCTTTTTTGTATATCTTTTTTTTTCTTTTATGGCTATACCTAAAAGGGGCAATGTTTGAGCAATGTTGAAATTCTGTTTATATCTCGTCAACTTATAATGTCTAACTTCAAATCATTTGTAAAATATAGAGTAAAGTGCCAAAATAGTACCTGTTATTTACATAGGGTTTTTTGGTCTCAGGGTTTATAGAAGTGCCAAAATGGTCGTCAATTATTTTAAAATTAAGCTCTGATAATTCTCCATAAAGACTATTTCAGCCCCAATTTAAAATTGTCTGAGGACTACTTAGTTGAATATTATTAGAGCAGGGAACTTTATATCCTTCACAGAAATTTAAAACTTAGTGCGCATGAAGACAAAAATTTAAACTTCTCAATCACTCATATAGATCCAAAAACTGATTCATACCTTTCTCTTAGATCTACAGGCACGATATGTCATTTTATACAAGACACAATAGTCATTAATACAATAGATTCTCATCTCACTCACTAGACTAAATGCTCTGAAATTAATCCATAAACTATATAGAGAGCTAAGTTACAGCATTCCCTCAAAAAACTACAATAGCATGAAAAAAAAAAATTAAACTTCTCAATCACTAATATAGATCCAAAAACTGAGTCATACCTTTATCTTAGATCTACAGACACAATATTTTTATACAAGACACAATAGTCATTAATACAATAGATTCTCATCTCACTCACTGGACTAAATGCTCTGAAATTAATCCATAAACTATATAGAGAGCTAAGTTACACTATCCCCTTAAAAAACTACAATAGCATGAAAAAAAAGGATAATTACAAACACATATTTATATATATGGTACTCAAAACTTACATATCTACAAAAATTAACATCCATTTCATTTTGTTCATCTATGGAACCCATACATTTATGTGTCACAATCAAATCTTAATGAATTTGATGCAGTAAAAGATATGGGCTGAGATTTTATAGTAAATCTCAATATTTAGGTGACAATTTAACAAAAAAAAAGACAGAAAACTAGTAATGTTTGGAGTGTTGTGCATGTAATTATCTAAAATAAAAAAAATAATAAAGAAACACTAGGATTGTTTGGGATCAATTTTTTTTATTTATGTTTTTGCCTTTTTTTTTTAATAAAAATATGTTTGTTTAATATGTTTTTAACATGTTTTTATTTTAAGTTTTTGAAAACAAATAAACATGTTTTTAAAAATTTTTTATTGTTTTGATTGTTCTAAAAAACAATCATATATCTTAATCAAACATATCAAATATGTTTTGTTTTAACGTACACAATACAACATGAAAACAAAAAATAAAAGTAACTTTAACAGCACACTTGTATTTTTTGTTTCATTTATGTTTTGATGTGAAACAAATAATGTTTGATATGTTTGATAAGACATGATTAATTTTCTCGAAACATGTTTATTTGTTTTTGAAAACAAAAAATAAAAACATGTTACAAACACACAAACATATTTTTAAAAATAAATAAATAAAATATAAAATGGAACCCAAACAAGTCTTAAGCTGCTCTGCAGAAGATATACAAAGCCAATTGAAGTTCTGTACTTTGAGGAGAGCTGCTGCAACGGCTATATATGTAAAGCTGCCAACAATCAAATCCTAAATGAAAAAATACAAAATTCAAAAAGACTACTAGAACTTGAACTAAAATAAAATTAAAAAATAAATAAATACTTGAACTGCAGGAAAAACTTGAACTGCAGACATTTACCAGTGTCATATACAAACAATGTTCTAAGAAAGAGTTAATCCATTCAAATCTTTGCATTACATGGAGTCTAGCTATGATTTGAATGCTTAATCTTCATATCATATAACCTTCATATCATAAAAAATTATAATCTAAACAATTTTAAGAGGTAATATATTTTGATTTTTATATTTATAACACTCAAATATTTCATATTACATAAAAAAAATATCACTATTATAAACATTGGAATACATCTTTTCATGCATAGGTAAAATTTTATAAATGTAAAAATTCAAAGTTTAAGTGTTTGATATATAAATACATAGGAACTGTGATCAAAGACAGCTAATGTTCCACTGGTAGATTCGACAACCCGAACTCTAGAGATATCGGCATCCTTAATTTGTCATTTACCCTTCTGAATTTGAGTTTCCTTCGATCTTCCCCACCCAACTTCTGGAATTACAGACATTGTCAAATTGCCGATTATCACAATTAAAGATATGATCTTTAAATCTCCTGTCTCCTCATTTAGCATATTCCTACATTATGATCTATATTTGTTAATTATTAAATGCATGCTCTCCTTTTAAGATCATATTCATTCCAAAAGTTGTCTCCTAAAAACCTTTGATCTTCAGATATTACGCTTTTGAGCTTATCTTATGCTCATTTTCGAAATTTATCAGTTCAAGCCAAGCGTTCTAATTCATTTTGCATTAGTCGCTTTTAATGTCTTCAACATCTTTTAAGGATTTGCACAAACTATATCCTCCATTACCACAACAGCATTGTGTGAGAATAAACCTAACAAAAATTTAGTCTGGACTATTTTTGAAATTCTTAGGCTTGCTTTGAAATGAATGTAATGTATCCTCCATTACCACAACAGCATTGTGTGAGAATATCCTAACAAAAATTTAGTCTGGACTATTTTTGCAATTCTTAGGCTTGCTTTGAAATGAATGTAATGCAAGAGCTGATATGATTACACTTGTCTCAAAATAAATCTAAGAATATTGAAGGGAAGGGTAATTTACATAATTTTTATGTATTTGCATATCTAACACCCAAAATTTGATATTTACACTTATAACACTTTGACGACAAAAACGTATGCATGTACTTTTAAAAAGTTATTAATCGCGATATTCTTCGTGTGATGTTGAAGATTTGAGTCCTTTGCATGTAAATATGAAAGTTTTAAGTGTTAGATATGTAAATGCATAAGAACTATACAGTACATAAATGCTCCGATATTAAAATACATACTACTCAATCAAGATATCATGACACAAATTTTCTCCGCAAATGTGCTAATCAAACCTACATCTGATTTTGACAAAAAACTTTGTTGAAGACTAACACATAAAACTTCATCAGCTCCAAATGCTGAACAACAGAAAGCAAGTTTCACTTCTTTAGTAACATTATAATTTCAACACAGGAGCTAATTTTGATAAACTAATCTCTTTAACATTTACCCAGATGTTAAGGAAAAAATTTTTGAAATCAAAATGATTGAGATTAATTAAAACAATCTAATCCAGTATTGAAGATCAACAAGGAGAAGTACATAAATATAGAAGTATAAGCCAATCGACCACTGCTTCAGGCCTCATTAGCCCCAAGCCAATGTTTGCAGTTAATTGAGTTCAACTAGACTGAATAATATTATTATGCTTAACAGTTTTCTTAGATAGCAGCCTCTTATAGAAAGTTAGATTATAATGAAAAAATAAGCCTGAAATAGAACTAAAAAAAAATATAACAAAGCAGATTAGAACTGAAATAGAACTCTCATCCATCACAATAGTTCTTTTTGGCCTAACGGTCAAACTATTTTTTCATATTAGCGTAATTTCTCAGGAGGTCACGCATGTCAGGAGCAGAATCTCTAGTGAAATTTCAATTGTTAAACCAAAAGTTGTCTCAATGATTAAGAGTTCAACTTCATTCTATTTAAAGGATTTCACAATCTCCCTCAATTAAGTAACTGATATTCTCATCACTCATCAATTTTCTTAATCCATAATCATCCATTAGGCAAATATTCCCATCATCCGACTGATGTAATGTTTTGATATCATTTTGAACAGCGTTAAATCTCACTCATTGAGATATTGTCCGTTTGGGCTATTTTAACTTCCCCAAGAGATTACCCATTCTAAAGGTGTTATCGCACAAGCACACTTAACATCAGAGTTTTTAGTGAAATTCCAATCGTTACACCGAAAGGCGACCAAATAATTAAAGTTCAGCTTCATTCTGCTTAGAGGGTTTCACAATCTCCCTAACTTAAGTAATTGATGTTCTTGTCAGTTTTCTTAATTCATAATCATGCAGCAGAGAGATATTCCTATCGTCAAGCTACCTTAACATTCTGATATCATTTGGTGTATCCCAGGAGGTCACCCATCTTAAGAGTGCTCCCGCACGAGCATGCCTAACTATAAAGCTTCTGATGAAATTTTAACCGTTACGCCAAAAGACGTCTCAATGGCTCAGGTTTCTTGGGATGTCACTCATCCTAGGAGTGCTCCTGCATTGCATGAGTGTACATAACTTTAAAGTTTCCCATAAAATTTCAATCGGTACAACAAAAGACATCGTAATGATTAAGGGTTCAACTTCGTTTCACAAGAAGAACCAAATGGCATTCCTTAAAATTCCAAAACCAACAAAAACAGATCTTCTTCAGCACCTTCATTCTTGAAACGAATTAACCAAACGGAACAACAAATGTTACCTGAAACCCACATCTCCAGTTCATGGCCTTCCGGAAGATGGAAATCAATGTGCTAAGAGAGATAAATCTCCCTTATCTGAAACCTTAGATCTCCCAATCTGGACTACCATTTCGATGCTGCTGATTCGTATGACCATAACCGCGATAGACATCAGATCCCGCAGAAGGACCGCGACATTGCGTGGACTAGGGTTTCGAATTCCTTTCTTCTGGAATTCTAAGAAGAGGAACGGTTGCAGGTGCCTTGGATGGTAATGATGACGACCAGAACGAAGAAGAGGAGAATGATTCCTACTATCACACTGAAGGTGATGACATCCATCTCCCCAATTCTGCTCCTTTTTTATCAGAACTTGTGAAAATTGGCTTTCTTTTGGCTGTGAAAAAGGTGGAATTTGATTTGGGGCTCCGATCGGGGGGTGGTGCTTTCCCCTTCTTCTCCGGCGAGGGAGTTC